GTGATGGTGATGTTGTACTCGGCTTGGCTCTCTCTGTCCAGAGGTCCTTCTGACATTAAGGTGTAAAAATTCTTTACAGAAGGTTTCAGGACGAAGGGCAGGTCGTTCTGGATGGAACACATCACTCTTCCATTGTCTCCAGAGTCTAGATCAGAAACGCTGAAAACAGCCACCACAGTCTGTCCTGAGTTCTCCGGGATTGGGCTGTTAACTGAAGACAAACTCAGTTCTGGAGGGTTGTCATTCACATCAACCACCTGAACTATGACTGTAGATTTTCCTGAAAGGCCTCCTCCATCCTTAGCCTCAATGTCCATTTCATAACTATTAATCTCTTCAAAATTCAAATATTTGACTAGGTGCATGGCACCAGTAATGGGATTGAGGTGGAAGGTTTTGCGAATTTCTTCAGAAGCATGAAAAAAGGCATAAGATACTGTCCCAAAAGTTCCTGCATCTAAATCCGAAGCAGAGACAGTGACCATGACAGAGTTCACGGGTTAATGGGGCTGTTCTCAAGGATTTGAACCTCATAGAGCGTCTGCTCAAATTCTGGAGCATTGTCATTTATGTCTAAGACCAGGATGTTGATCTGGGCGGTCCCAGAGCGTGGTGGAGAGCCGCCATCCAGCGCTGTGAGTGTTAAACTGAGCTCAGGCTGCTGCTCCCGATCCAGCGCTTTGTCCAGCACTAGTTCTGGGTACTTCCTTCCGTCCCTGCGACTGCGTGTGACTACGTGGAAATAAGAATTAGGAGCTAGTGTGTAGTTTTGGAGACCGTTTCTTCCCACGTCCACATCCTCAGCATTTTCCAAAGGAATTATTGTTCCTGGTGGAGTGCTTTCTAGGATTTTCAGCTGCATTTCATTTTCAAAGAATACTGGTGGGTGGTCATTTACATCTATGATCTGGAGTTCATTTGTGACAAACTGCAAAGGTTTTTGCAGTAATATCTGGAAATGCAGTATACATGGTTCTGTGGGACCGCATAGCTCCTCTCGGTCCAATTTTTCATTCAAGAGCAAATCACCTGTCTCATGATTGAGATGAAAATGCTGTTTGTTCCCTTTGGACACAACTTGAGCCCCTCTCTCAGCTAGTTCTCCTACCCTCAGCCCCAGATCCTTTTCTAGGTTGGTTATTAAAACACCTCTCTCATTTTCCTCAGCCACAGAATAGCGTTTGGACTTTGACACAGCCAGAGACCCACCCAGAAAAACAAAGAGAAGCAGGACTTGCCTTTGTCTAAGAAAGTGCTCTCCTCCAGCCTCCATTGCACTTAGTGTTGTATTCTTCCAGGGAAGTCTCCAAGCTGAGCTTCAGATAGGGCTAGAAAACGCAGTTTTTGCCCCCACCCCAACCTTTGCTGATGGCCTGGCAAATAAGAGATTCCAGAGATTCAGATCTGCTTGTTTAAAACACTGCCTGGCCTCACAGTCGGGGGTTCACCGCCCTGGATCCGTGCGTCACAGACTATGCACAATGCTGGTGTTTTAATTCGCCTCCTTAGTCAATAGCGCCACCATGCGTTCATTTGCAGTCACAAAATTTTGGATAACGTATTTTAGGTTTTTGTTTTATCTCCCATGCCCCTAACCAAACAGAGCTGACGGTACTGGACTGTGTTTGTGTGTGTGTGTGTGTGTATGTGTGTGTGTGTGAGAGAGAGAGAGAGAAAGAGAGAGAGAGGAGTTAAATAAATGCAACCTAGGGAAATGAAATACTCTTATTTGAAAGACATGATTGTCCCTGGTAGAGTCCTCATTTACATTTTTTCGTAAGTATACACATACTAAACTGCTGCCTTCAAACTGCAATTATTACACAGAAATTTAAAAATATTTTTCTCTAAATGATAACATGTTTCTCTTTCCCAACTGTTTCCCTTTATATTTCCAAATTTTATAAAATGTGCACTAGTTGTGTTGTAGACAAATACCATGAATAGGCAACCTCATGTATGGAGGTAAAAATTATAAACGATGTAGGTCAGTACATTCAAGGAGCTACAAATGCCTAGTTCCTTATTTTCACACTTAAGGAACAGTTGGAGTGCTTTCTTCACTTATTTCATAGTGACTTTACAGTTATTTGTTTCATTGGTACTATTTCCATAGCTAGGGTTTGTAGAAGTTAGGCATTAGGTAGTAACAAGACTGACAATGTATACATATTTTCACAGTTTTCCATCTAATGGAATGTGCAAACTTTAAACAGATGTACAAACGGACTGAAAAGTGGTATATGGGAAACGTACTGAGTGCACTGAAAGTATGCAGTAGGGAGACCTCACTTGAGGGGGAAAGACGTCTTCCCCAAAGATGTGCCATTTACTCTGGAACATGAAGAATGAGAAGCAGTTCACCAGGCTAACATTATAGCATATGTGAAGTCCCTGGGAGAGTAAATCACAGCTATTCTAGATGGTGAAGGAAGTAGGGTATACCCAAAACTTTGTGTCTCAGTGGTAAATGGGAAGAGAAGACTGGATGGGTGCATGGATTTTATTCTAAGAACAAAAGGAAGCTATTGTAAGGTGATAGAGAATGAAATAATGCACATATTGTGTTCACTCTAGCTTCTTTTGTGTTTCTGCACAAGTGTCAGGAATGTTGAATGTTGGCATCTATTAAGCTTACTCTTTACATTAATGGTACTAAAAATAATAGCAATTATACTTCTCTATCTTTATGTTATTATATATTATCATAACTGTAAGCAGTTATTAAAATAGCTGTTATTACTTGGGGAGGGGAACAGAAATTATGTATCTTATCCAAGACCATAAAGGCAATAAGATGATTGATGAGAGACTTTTGATATCAAGATAGTGTTATACACCATTGCTATCGCAAAATGAGACCTTTAAATTCACATTATAATTATAATAGTATGTCTCATTCAAATGCACATAAAATGATATATAAATGTAAAGATAAACTGAAGCTATTAAGAATTAAAATATAATTCAGTGTATGGATCAGAATTAAATTACAAGAAGTAAAAAAAAAGTTGGATAAATCTTTTAGGGACTATAAAACATTGAATTGTAAATGGAAAATCACAATTCCCCTCTGTATTCCTTAAGCCTATGGGCAGGAGAAGAGACTCAAATTAAGTGATAAGAGAATAAAGGGAAAATATCTTGAAGGAAAGGGACAGCAAGGATTAGTAACTCCATGTTAGAGTAACAGTGGCCAGTTAAATTGATAACAAAAATTTATATAATTCATAGTACATCACAGTAAATCATTCACAGTATTTAATTCCAGCAAATTTTTGTCCCTTAAGTATCTTAGTACATTTACATATCAATATATCACTGGTGACATACTCTTTTCTTTCAGTCATTCCAAAATTTTATTATGAAATTACAGTGTTTCAGTGATTGTGCTAATCATGCAAAAAATGGGGACCTGTTAAGAGGTGTAATTTGAGCACCCTTAAAAAATGCATTGAACAGTCTAGGGAATGGATGGAGAAAAATTCTTGCAATGCCAAACTACAATACATTTGAAGTTTCTAAAAGTGATTATGGACAAAGACATGTATATATTCCTTCCTATCTCTTGGGTCTTAATGAAGTGCTCAGAGTTAGTAAAAGGATTTTTTTTTGAATAATTAAAACAGATTTTAAAAGGAGGAGTTGGGAGCCAGCCCATGGAGTGGTGGTTAAGGTGGCTGCACCCCACGTGGCCTACTGCATGGGATTCCTGGACCCCAGCACGTGCACATGCATGCCTGAAATCCCAAAAGGAGAAGTGGAGAAGGAATTGTTGGTATGACCATCCTCCATGGAGGGTGCTTTCTCACTTTCTCCCTCTTTACCTTTCTCCCTCTGTCTCTCTGTCTCCCTCCAGCAAGTTGGAGTGCATGTGCCCTCTAGCAGATTTAAGAAAATAAATAGATATGGGGCCAGCAGGTGGTGTGGTGGTTAAGGACGCTGGACTCCCACATGGTCGACCACAGTTCAAGTCCTGGACCTGGAGGCTTGCTCTCTCACTTTCCCTCTCTCTCTTTCTCTCTCACTCAGTCCCTCTCTGGTCAAATTTAAAAAAAGAAAGAAATCACTGAATAAAGTTAAATAAAACAATTCTTTTAAAAAAGAAAATAAATAAACAAAAAGGGAAATGGATAAACAGGCTTTTTCAAAAACCATTTGAAATAGAAAACATGAGAAATTAGCATGACTTTAAAAATCACTGTACTCTTCAACTAAATTTTACAAGATTAGTGAGTGATTTAAATTTTTTTATTTGTTATATTATTGTTTAATTTGATGAGGGGGGGTTAAAGTGAGAAAGCAAGCTGCCAGGTACCGACTTGAACAACCATCGGCCATTAGGAGTCCAGTGCTTTAACCACCATGCTACCTGCCAACCCCTAGTGAATGATTTTTTTTTTTTGGAGAGGTTTTCGCTATAGGGCACGTGCGCTCGCCAGACAGAGACATAGAGACAGAAAGCGAGAAATCACCCCCCAGGGTGGATGGTCACGCCACAATCCCTTCTCCTCCATTCTCCTCTCGGATCTTGGGCACGCATGCAATGCACGAGGCGTGAGTTTTAAGCCACTGAGTCCAGGACGCGAACCGCGGTCGACTACGTGGGAGTCCAGCGACATAGCCATTATGCTAACTGCTGGTTCCCCTACTGAATGATTTTTGACCAAAATTCATTGAACACTAGTAAATAATGTGAATGTTTTGTAGAATCAGAGAGTTAAGCCTCCCACGAAACCTAAGAAGTCATCATTTTCATATGTTGAAACATTAAAATAGTATACATTTAGATAAATATGGGTAAAGTGATATGATATTCATGAATTATTAACAGCTATTACATATATATTACTATATGTAATATATAGTAATGATTTAGCCAATGTGAGTTAAATGGATAAAACTTACACTAGTCTAAGAGAATATAGCAAACACAGATATTCTGGGCAGAAAAATAAATGATATTAAACACTAAGACTTCAAAATTACCTAGAAACTGCCAAGAGTGAGTTTGGAAGAAAGTGCTCTAATAAAAATATTGAAGATTTTTGAAAATACATCACACTTTAAATCAAATTTAATTACAGCAAAACGAATCAATTAGAACACAAGGAAAATTTAAACAAATGCCAGTAACATAGAAATGGAAAAAGATAATTATTTTCAGGTGGAGAAATTTCCAATATGCAAAGAGGTTTTAAAAAAGACTTTCTGCAAATCAGTGGAGACTAGGCTCAGTAGACCCTTAGTAAAACTTTAAAAAAAAAGAACTAGAAACGGGTCTAATCATAAGTAAACAGCTCCTGTGCCAGAATCACTGATTAAGCCCTGAGGTCTCTGAGAATTGGCTGACCATCTCGTGGCTCACCTGCAGTCCTGGGAGCGCACCCTCCACTCACTAATACTTAATTGAATTCAAAGCTATTCCTGACACTGGGGTTGGCCTCACTAACCCTCTCCACACCTTCAGCAAGGAAGCTGGGGATAATAGGCTTCAAAAACTTGAAATCACTGGTCCCAGTCCCTCCCCTCAGACACACCTCATACTGGTAGCTGTGGGACAGGGTCCCAGTACCGCTGACGTCCAGCAGGTGGCCCGGGAAGGGGCCCTCGGGCACCGAGCAGCCCCCCAGCGAGGCCGCCCTGGCCCTCCTGCACAGCCGCGCCGCCACGAACAGCAGCACACACAGCAGGAAGAGCGACGACACCGCCGCA